ACTCAAAATGTTGTTATGTGATTGACAGGATCTGACATTTTAAGTACATCTAAGCTTTGTTGGGAAAATTCCAGGAATCGGAAACTTAAAAAATTAAAAATGTTTAAACTTTTATCGAAAAAAATCTGTTTCAATGAGTCGTTTAAGATGAAACTTGTTTTTAACAGTGATGGTTTCTGAAGCGATGTCAAAAATTAATCAAAGAGAAAATAATTTCCTTTTTTCAGATGTTCGCTCTATTCAATCTGGTCTATTGGTCCTACTATCTAACAACAAGCATGAATCCGGTCTATTCTTGATTAATTAATTTTTTTTCGAAAATTGGGTAATTAATTGTGTTATTGAAGCTTTTAAAATAATAAAGATATGAATCTTTTCAGTTTCAAGTATTTTGTAAATTTTCTTGAATAAGTTTGGAAGTATAAAGCTAGCTCACTTGAACATTTCTAAAGACTTTTCGAATTATTTTGATTGTTCCTCAAATTTGATTACTTCTAATTAAGGCTATTTTATTTGTCACAATTCAACGTATCAATAGATTTTGCGTTTCAGAACTAGAACCTTCTGATTGACTGGCTTAATTTGTGAGAAAACTTTTAAGGTAATTCAAAAATTTTCAGTTTCAGATAGTTTCGAAAAAAACTTGTGGAAAATTAACACCCGATCAATTTAAACGATACATTAAAAAAAAAATTAAAAATACATTTAGGGATCAAAAGTATAATTTTCGGCAAAAATTCGAAAATTAGTTTAACATTTTTTTCATTTTGAAAACTAGAACTTTATGCATTCTGTCATTTTTTTTGGGGTTACAGTAAACCCTTTCTTCTGAAATATATATTTTCATGCTTCTTGCGTCATAGCAATCGATATCTGGATGTTTAGTTGTGTGAGGTGAGTTGTTTTTTTTTGAAAAACTTCATGAAAAAAATTTAATGACACATATTTTTCAAAGAAATTTCTAACAAGGGAAGGTTTTTTAGACAAAGGTTGAGAATTTGCTCAAAATTTGCATACTTATAGTTTAAGACATGCTCTATACGATGACGAAACAATTTTTAGCCCGTTCTCACTCCCAGGCCGAAAAACTTTGTCTGAAATTTTGGGCCGATTTCGGTGCGCTGGGGATTTCGGCTTCCCCTTCCCTCCTCTACCGATTCCGCGTGAGAGGAAAATATCGTTTGTGTGGTGTTGTGGTAAGAGGGCGACTCACTAGGATTGACTATGCTGGTTCGAATCCCACTGTGGTAAAACTTTTTTTAAGCATTTTTTGAAACTAATTTTTGATTCCAAGTTTGCCCCCCTAGGCACTATATGACACTTTTTGATTAATTTTAAAAGGTTTCAAAGAAAAAAAGATTTCATGAGAGTTTGAGGAAAAAATAGATAATGTCTTTTCGACCGGTTCTTACATCCTCGTATCGTTAAAAACAAAAAATTCAGTCTCTGAAAGTTGCTCAATTTTGCTCTTTTTGAGGTGTAGTACTGTCAAATCGATCACATAAAAGCTAATTCAAAAATGATTAACAAACAATTGTCTGAACGCTAAAAAGCGTGTTTCTTTGAAAACTTCCCAAAAAACTGTTGAAATTCTGACCAGGTTCTGAAAAAAACTCACTGTATGAAAAATATTTGAACTGTTTCGTGAAGTCTGTGAAAGTGTTTAATTTAAACTTCGTAACACACACACACACACACCTTAATCGGTAATGTTCCAAAAGAGGTTGTTCAAAGTTCGTTTAAAAAAAGAAAAAAAATCCATTAAAAAAGGTCTTTCGGAAGCTGTTTGAAATTAGTCTGATACGGCTCAATTGTATGATACGGCCCTAGTCTGATACGGCCCTATTGTTTAAATAATAAGGAACTGTTTCATGGATTGTGTGAAGAAGGGGAAATTTTTTGTTGATAAACTTTTGGAAATTTATTGAAAATTGTCCAAAAGTCAGGATTTAGAAATTACAGTTTTTAAATGGAAATGTTTTCAAGACATTTTTTTCTAAATGCGAAATTACAGAAAAAATTTTACGATTTCAAAATTTTCATGTCCTTCTAAAGTCTCTTTGAAAAGAGAGTATTGTGATTAGTGATCGATTTAACAGTACCCACCTCGAAAAGAGCAAAATTGAGCAATTTTCAGATGCTGAAATTTTCGTTTTTCAACGATAAGATGATGTAAGGACCGAAAGAGATCAGTATTTAAATTTTCATCAAGCGTTCATAAAATCTTTTTTACTTCGAAAACCATTGAAATTCATAATAAAGTATCATCTAGACGAACCACCATAGTCACTCCTGATGAGTCACCCTCTTACCACAACACCACACAACCACATTTTCTTCATACATGAAAGTGGTAGAGGAGGGAGGGGGAAGCCGAAATCGGCTAAAAATTTTCAGACGGTCATTATGGTCATCGTATAGAGCATGTTTTAAACTATAAGTAAGCAAATTTAGAACAACTTCTCAACCGGTGTCTGAAAAACGTTCCCTTGTAAGCCTAAAATTGAAATAAGGCTCAAGCTTGAAGTCGAGTTAATCCTAAAGTCAAGGTCAAAATAAATGTTTAGCTTAAGCTCAAGTTTAGCGTTTAACTTAAAGTTGACTTAAATTTTTTCGGTTTCAATAAGTCCCTTTCAGAAATTTTGAATATTTTTTTAAATTAATAAAATGAATATTCATTGATGGTTCGAAAACTAAAAAAGTTTTTAAAGTTTTGTGTTTCAAATTTCACATTTCCTTGCTTGAAATCAAAGTTTTTCGATAAGCTAGCTTTAAGAAGAAATTTCTGAAAATTACCATACTTGTGGAAAAGATGGTCGGCCCGCGGGCCGGGCCATGGCCGGGCTGAGATTTTTCTGAAAGCGGGCCGGGCCGAATCATCATTTTTCAAGATGGCTTTTCTTCTTAATAAATGAAAAAAACACACTCGAGGCCGATTCTGTTAAAACAAACTGTTTTGAGGTCGTAATTTGAAAAAAAAAGTTTCATCCTTGGCTTAATGAAGTTGGATTTTTTGGCTAAAAATTGAATTAAATTGACTTTTTCGGATGGTTGTATGCATTTGGATTAATATTTGTACTATTAAAAATATTTTGACACATTTGAAAAGTAACATTTTCGAAAAGTTTACTTAGGCGGGCCAAGCGGGCCGGGATAAAAATAGGGAAACAAACAAAAATATTTTTGAAGTTTCAAAATTTTCAGAAAGCATTTCATAAAATATTTTAATCTGATAGCTTATAGAGAGGACAGAATTGTTGATTTATTACAGAATGAAAACTTTTTGTTTGAGTCGAAAATTGAAATTTTTTAAAATCCAAAAGAAATTTAACTGTTTCTAAATTGTTGAGAACTTTGAGAACTTTGGATATAAATTTAATTCATGTACCATCTCAAACAAAAGTTAGAAAACAACATGAAAAAACAGGAGGTTTGAATTCGGAATTTTCCTTTTTTTCAAAATTTCGAGAATTTTGTTTTTGAAAATTTAGCCCAATTCAAAAAAATATATTTTCAGTAGAATTTCTTCTCCAAATTTTTCGCTTTCCGCTGGACGATGTTCTAATGAAAACGATTGTTTAAATTTTCAGAACTTAAAAAATTTCTAGAATCTTCATGAGAAAAAAAAAATCGGAAATTCTGATTTTCTTAAAGATCCTTAATGGTTTAAACTAAGATTATTTAGAGAAAATTTTGATTCATTTGATCAGAATAAGGCTCCCATTCGGTCGGGAAGTTTAGCCGGCCGACCGACAGCCGACTGACCGATCGGTTGGAGCGCCGACCGTTTCGTGCATTTGCGCGTCAAAGTGTTTGATGCATTGTATTTTACGACAAACTACTCACTAAATTCCTTGTTTGTCGTAAACTAAAGTGCTTCGTACGCAAACACTTTGACCCGCAAATGCACGAAAACGGTCAGCTCGGTCGGCTGTCGGTCGGTCGGCAAATTTTCCGACCGAATGGAAGCCTTATTCTGATCAAATAATTCAAAATTTTCTCTAAATAATCTTAGTTTAAACCATTTAGGATCTTTAAGATAATCAGAATTTTGAAAGCCTCAAAATTATTGAATTTTCAAAATTCCGAAACATTTCTATTTCAAAAATATTGTAAATTTTCAATAATTTTTTCGCAAATGTTGATTCTCCTTTTGCTTCTTAAACTTTTCATTCCGTCTGTCTGTCTGTATGTCCAGATGACCTTAAACACAACATAACACAGAATAGAATCTTTCAGAACCTTTTAAATTTTTTTGAAATCTTGAAATTCCGATTTTAGAGCTCTCTTAAAAAATTATAGAAAAATGGGTCATAACTTTCTGTTCGCCAAGAAAAAAATAACAATGACACCATTCCTTTTATTTTATTCAGTAAATCTAATAAAACATCCAATTTAAGGTTTTTTTTCCAAAAATCACAAGATTTTTTCTGGTTGTGGGTCACATACCAGTATGAAAAACTTCACGATTTTCTGAAAACATTTGACTAAAAAATCGAATTTCAGACCTTTCGAGAAATTTCGAATTTTGAATATTTCAGGATTTTAGGGAAAAGTTCGGTTTCCAAAGAATTATTTTGCCTTGAATTGTTTGAATTAATTTCCAGAAGACAAAAGTTGAAATTTTCTAGAATTTTTATGAGAAAAAATAGCTGAAAACAATTAATTTTCGAATTTCTGATTTCTTTAATTTTCGAACGATTTGAGGACTTCATCGAGTTTCCGAATTTCAAAAATAAACAGATTTTATTAGCACACATGTCATAGACACAGACAAAAATATTGATTTTTGGTTTTGCAATAACCCAAAAACATTAAAGAAAAAAGTAAAGGAAGTTCAAAGGGACAGAGAGTTTTTTGACAAAAAAATGTGTGGGTGGGGGGATATGAGAAATCACAAAAAAATTAACGAAAAATGTGGAATGTTAAGAGAAGGAACATTTTAAAGAAAAACCCGTGACAACAGAGATTACGGTATAGTTTAGGTTACTGTAGATGCTTTAGTCTTCACTATCCAGTGAGATGAATGCGGCATTATCGTTTTCACGATGATCACGAAGTGTAGTTCGGGAGTTGGTTGGTTGGGAACGACGGCCTTTTGAGAAGATTACACGATCCTGGAGCTGAAGATTTTATTAGAATTTTCAAGGAAAACTATATTTGACTGAGCACTTTGGAAGGATTTCCAAAAAGATCTGACAATTTTGAAACAGTTTTCCAGAAATCGGAAATTACAGTCGAGTTTAGGGACAATTTCAATAAGTTTCGAGACAAATCTCTTTAATCTTGAGACAGATGTTCACGTTTTTTGATCAGTTTCGGATTTTTTGTATTTCCAAATTTGAAAATCGTAAGATTGTGATCAAATTTGTGAAAAAATGGAAACTTTTCATGGAGTCTGTGAAAATGGGGAAAATTAAATGCCTGAATCAATAGTTAACTCCTCTTGGAAATTCATTGAGAAGCTTTAAAATTAGTCTTGAACTGTAAAAAAAGCCAAAAATCCTAAAATTACCATTTTCGCCTGAACGCCTGCCTGAACGCGGATAGGGAACAAACGGAAACAAATTTTTATAACATAAACTTATTGCATGTTCATTAGGTTCATGGAAAATTTTGAAACTGTTTCATGGAGTCTGTGAAAATGGAAAAAATAATTTCAAGCAATAAATCTGGAATATTGTTTAGAAAATAAGGAACTGTTTATGAATTTGGTGAAATTAGCATATACTTTTCTGAGAGTCAGGATTACTGAATTACTGTTTTTAAAGGAAATTCTTATTTTGAAGGCAAAATTAGCTGGAAGAAAAAAAACCAAAAATATTACGATTTCAAAACTTCCATATTCTTATGAATCCTCTTCAAAGATAATTAGTGGATATGAATAGTGACAGTTATTCTAATACTTAATACTTTCAGAATCCTCTAACTTTTATCCCAATTTTCAAAGAATTACTGTAGTTTTTGCCTTACCTCATCCTCATCCTCATCGTCCTCATCCAATCCACACGTCTCCACAGCTGGCAACTCTCCAGTATGAGACTCAATCAACCTCGTATACTTATACTCCAATCTTCGATTTCGACGACAAATACAAATGAATGCAATGGAAAGAGCAATCATTGAAATCACAAGGATAGTGAGGAATGCTCGTTGAGTTGCACTGAATAAGCTACACGCCACTTCCTTGGTTTGTGAAGCGGCGCCAGTGATAACGCAGTGTCTGGAAATGGATATTGTTTAAAAGCTTATGAAATTTGCAAGAGAAAGGTATAAAAACTGATAGTCATTGATGAAAACGAAGGGAGTTAGAAGCTCTTATAGTGAAAATGTTATCTAAATGTTGCTAAACAAATGAGGATTTAAAAAAATTTCTTTAAAATGGTCTAACCTGCTGGCAACAAATCAAATGTATCTACCCACTACTAGGCTGAACTTGGCTGGAGACTACTGTCCCTTTAAGTGAAGAAGTATAAACTGCATAGCATTTGGCTAGCTTTACCAATCAGCTTTTGAAGCTGTGATTTGAAATCTAATGAGACACAGAAGCCACGGATGGATTGATCACGAATTATGAGCCATTATGATACGAATTAGCAGAAACCGTATTTTCTAATTTGTCCACTTTTAGTTCATGTTATCATACTGTTTCTGAAAGCTCGTAACCGTGACCAGAATACTTCGATAATTGATGAATTTGACGGAATTGTGGCTTCAATTTCAATCAAGTAGGATTTTTTTCCCTTTCCCTGTTTCACCAATTTCAGAAATTTTACTTAACGGGCAATCGAGTGTTTTGATGGATTTGTTAGATCAAACTCACGCCAGGAGGAGAAACAGATGAGAAAAGGGGGGCTTACAATGGTTAAGGATTTCGAAACTTTCAGACGAAAATTTTCAGCATTTTTATAAAAAGTGCATATACAGATTTTGACAGGAGGTTTACAAGGGCGTGAACTAACCACTGTCAAAAAATAAGCAAATTCTCAACCCCTTTCTGAAACGATTTCCCTTGTCAGTAATTTCTAAATTATTTTAAAGGAACTCACGACTCTAATTTAAACCAAAGCTCAAGAAGTCGGATAATTAACTTTAACAAAGGAGCGACCTGGATCACTGTGTGGTCCATTAAAACCCTTTCAAATTCCTTCTCGTTCACTGTTCCACAAACTCCCTAATGTATGCTCACCAATCCATCTAGTGTTCACCTAAATTCAGATCCATCTCAATAACTTTAAAATTAGTTCAAAGGGCTTCATGATAAAAATCAGCCAAAATTTCAAAAATCTTGCTTATGAACTTTAGAAAATGAAGTAACCTAAATGATGAAAAAAGTTCTGGAAATTAGCTACAATTTAATATAAGATGGTTAGAACGAAACCAAGTTTGAAACAAGTTATGCGCCGTTCAAAAATATTAAAATAGAAGATATGAAAAAGCCCTTGAAATTTCTTATACATTAATACAAAACTTTGTTTTAGCTGGATTAGAAATTATGGGGTTTTTGGCAGATCAAAAAACAAACTAAATTTTTTAAAAACCTGTTTCATGAAAGTAGTAATTTTCATCGAATAACTTTCTAGTATTAATGGTACTGTACTAAATGATTCGAAAAAATTTTACAGTTTTCAAATTTAGATTTGTTCTTGCTTTAAACATTGCTTTAAACAAATTATCGATTTCTCATTATCCTCATTCCAGACCACTTCACCTAATAGACCTAAAAACTCACTTTTTCGGAATACTATGAATCGTTTGTTTTCCATTTTTGCACTCTCCATTGATCGTTTCATAATCATTGCTCTCACAAACTGGACACGCTTCTGCAGTTTCCATAATCACTACAAACAGACAACCATCACAAGTTCCATCGGGACAACTGTGTGGAAGACGCATTTCGATTTGTTTTTTCGTTGGAAGACATCTTCCAACCACTACTAATTGATTTCCATTTGGACACGCTTGGGAGATGGTTGGAACGGGATCGAACCAGAAGAAAACGTCCAGTGGGCGCGAAGTGTTGTCGTGGGAGTCTGAAAAACAAAATTCGAGTTAGAGCTTATTAGTTTAAAGGAACATGAACTACAAATTTTTTCATTCATTTTCTGACTGTTGAAGCGGTCGCAGTTGGCGCTTACGGCGAGATGGGTACTGTAGTCGATGATTCAAATTGAGACTTTTAAAAAGTTACTTTTTCAGAATAATCATAAAAATTAGACAAATTTTAAACTGCAATACAGAGTTCGCGTGTGTGGTAAAAATCATTTTTCAGTCCCCTGCCAAATCTTGAAGTGTATGTTCCCATGTTAAACTTACAATCGTATTGGTAATTATGCAATCACTAGTTATTTTTGAAAACATTCGGATACGGGAACAATGTTCCTCCTCCCAACATGAAATGAACGTATTCTCATTAGGGCGCATTTGGGAAACCACTAAAAAATATTTCGGTTTCAGATGCACCATAAATGTAACTCAATTCGAAATAGATTGTTTGATTGTTGATAACTCTTCAAAAACAAACAAAAAAAATGATTTAAACTTATTGGTTGCCAGGAAAACTGAATGTGTTTCATACTGCATTGTATACATGTTTAGAGCACATCAAATTGTAGAACTGGAGATTAGATAATTTGGCTTCAAGCTAACAACAATTTGAGCTACTCGGCAGGCTTCCTCAAACTCATTCAGTGAGGATCAACTCACCATACTCCAACACTTCATCCGTCAAACTAGAATTTCCATGTTTTCTACTAGTACTAATGGAATCCAACCGCGTAGCCATCAACAACGGTGTCACATATGCATTCTTCGAATGATTCGATGTTGGTGTCGGAAGCGCTGTCATTCGACACGCCAATCCTTCGACATTCTCTTTCTCTTGATCCATTATTCCAATCATATCGAAATTATCAAATTGCTCTTGACACTTGATATTTGGAGGGAACAGGGAAATAGTGAAGAAGTGGAAGTAGGCGGAGCCTTCTCGAGAGAAAACGCGGACTCCAGAGATGTTCCAGGATCTGAAATGAAGAAAAATCAAACAGGAAGTAGCAATTATTCAGTTTGGAAGAATTTTTGAAAGCTTTGAAACAGGGAAAATCTTCATTTTTTGGGAGAATCATCGAAAATTTCCCTAAAAAAAGCCAGAAAACCTGTGTCCGTCATTTTGGGTTTTCTAGGCCAGCAGTAAATTTTGAATTTTGAGTAGTACAAAAATGTCAGTTATAGCCGACTTTTTGAATTCTAGAATACCAGTTTTTGAGGGTTTTCTAGGCCACCATCGAAATTTTGATATGCTCTGTTGTCATTAGTCATGGTCCCTATTTCATTATGTCATTATTAGGAAGACAGGAAAGTAACCAAATTTGAATGGTGGCCTAGAAAATCCCCATAAACTCGACCACGGGGTTTTCTGGCGATATTAAAGGCTTGACAAATCTGAAGCCGAGTTTTTGGGGTTTTCTAGACCACCACTAAAAAATTGCGTTTTCTCTGGCTTTTCACTATTAAAGGTGGTGTGCGGTGAAAAATTTTATTGCTTTATTTTGTGCAGACTTTCATGTAGATCCCCATAAAAATAACGAAAAAATTCA